AACGAAGTACACTGCTGAGGGGAGCAGCGGGCGGGTCAGGAGAGGTCTGCCACGCCATGTGGATCTCCTCGGGGGCAGGTGGGGATCGAACCCATGCGGAAGTGGCTTTGGCTTCTCAGTGCTGTGCTTTAACCCGCTGCGCCACCAGGGAGGGCCCGCTTTAGCTTCTTAGTGCTGTGCTTTAACCCATTTTGCCACCAGAGAGGGACCACTGCTGAACTTTTAAACCCTATGTCCCAGGTCTTTCCTGTTTAGATTCCATTTCTATTATTTTATGTGCTATTTCCACTAGTTTTTTTGAGGATCCGCTGAGGTCCGTCAATGATGAGCTATTTATGTGCCCACTTGGACAGTCTGATTTCTGAGTTCTGATGGGTCCCACACATTCAACGATGGAGGTGTCTATTGCCTCTATGGTCATTATAACCCTTTAAGACTTCTGTTACGTGCAACTTGGTGTCAAAACTCCTAATTTTTGCTTTGTAGTGAAGCTTACTCTTCCTTTTGATTTGAATGCTAATTTTGCTAGATGAAGGATTCATCAACTTAGAAGTCTTTTTCTTTAGGTGCTTTAAATATATCCTGCAAATCCTTTTATGCTTGTAATGAAAAATCCCGACAGTCTGCATGGCAGGTAGACTAGGGTGCAGCCAGGGAGCTGCAGAGGACATGGTGAGGGGGTGACCCTTGGAGGAGTGGTCTGGTTCCAGATACCCTAAAGTTGGTGAGAGTTCGACCATGGCTGGGGTGTGGGGTCCAGGGTGTTGTATATGTTGGCAGACAGGAGTCAAGGGGCCCTGCCAAATGTTGGCTAAGTTACCAGGACGGAGCAGCCACTTACTGCAAGGAAAAGACAGGAAGGTGGAGCTCTGTCTGGCTGTGCTAAATCAACTAGGAGCCACCCCAGCAGGGACACAGGTGGGCAGTGGCCGTACAAGGCTGTTGCTAGCCCCACTTTACAGATGTGTGAACTGAACCTTGGAAAAGTTAATGACCGGCCCAAGGTGACACTGAAGCTAATGTGCAGCTAAGGAACTTTCAAGCCGGACCCTAGTCCACGAGTCCAGGCCCAGTGCCATAGTTTACCTGGGCCCCCAGTGCCTGGAATAGCAAATGTCCTTTACTGAGGAAGCAGGAGTTTGCCCATGGGGGACGCCTGGGTGGGAGGGAGGCCATGAGGCTGAGGTGAGGTGGGTGAGTTAGGGGGCGCTCCTCCCTGCTGAGGTGGGGGATGAGGGGTAGGGAGTGTGGGGGTGAGCAGGGGTGTGTGTGTGTGTGTGTAGGGAGAGTTGAGACCTTTGAAAATGGAATCAACAGTCTGGGAGCAAGTGCCCGATTTTGGGTTTCCTCATCTGGGAAGGGCTGTAACACTGCACAGCAGGGATGGCAGCACAAGTCCATATGATCCATGTGGAAGTGCTTTGCGGGACAGGTGAACCCTTCACCTGCTAGCTACACTCCCCCTCAGGTGTGTTTGTGTGGGCAGTGGGCAAGGGTGGGGTCAACAGCTGACAGTCAAGCATCGGTCTCCTCCCTTTAGGTTCAAAGAACGTGTACTGCAGACCCCAAACGACCTTCTGGCGGCTGGCTTTGAGGAGCACAAGTTCCGAAACTTCTTTCATGCTGTGAGTTAACCTGGGCTCAGCCACTGATGAGTAGGCAGTGCCAGAGCCCCTCTGTCCACAGCTGTGGTGGTGCCCCTTGCTCCTCCAGTTGGGGAAGGACTGAGGCTTGTTCATGTGCTCCTGCTTGTAGGGATGCAGGAGTATCAGAAGCCCAGGGCCCCCCTAGGAGAAGGCACCTCTCAGGCTAGAAACTTGCCCCCAAGCCTCCTTCACCCCACTCCCTTCCCTCCTGGCTTCCTGGATTTCTCCTGAAGGGGCAGGGTTGGATCTTATTGGCTCTGAATGTAAGAATGCCAACCCAGATAGCCCCCAACTGAGTTCCCCAGACATGATTCAGGTTACCAGGTAACCCTCTTGCTTAGCTTTGATGGGATCCCAGTAACTTGTTTTGGAACCTGGGGTATCAAACTGCAAACACACGAGGCATCCATGGAGGGGAGGGAGGGTCTAGCCTGGGGGGCTCCTGGTGACACGCTTGGTGTGCAGTTCTACAGTGTGGTGGAGCTGGTGGAGAAGGATGGCTCAGTGTCTGGCCTGCTGAAGGTGTTCAACGACCAGAGCTGCTCAGACCGAATCGTGCAGTTCTTGCGCCTGCTCACCTCGGCCTTCATCAGGAACCGTGCAGACTTCTTCCGACACTTCATTGATGAAGAGATGGACATCAAAGACTTCTGCACTCACGTAGGTCTTTAGTGTCTGAGCGTGGGGACTCAGTACCTGCCCTGGTCTCTCCTCCCGCCCCTCTCTCTGTGGACTTGGTATCAGCATCACTAGCAAGGAGTCATGGGTGTTACCTCTGTGTTTGTACCTCAGGGTGCTAGAAACAGCTTCTACTTGAGCTGCCTAAACTAGTTTTGGGCAAGTCACCTCCCCACTCTGGGTCTCAGATTCCCAGCCTGAGAAGTGAGGGCTGCCTGCCCTGTTTACAGAATCGCAAAGGGGCGGCCTTTGCCCCAACACGTCTCCTTTAAACGGCACATGGCCTTTACTGAGAGCTGCCAACATGTAAGCACTGGGCAACTGTCCCGACATCTGGATTTTTCAAAAGAACTAGAAGACTCGGCTCCCTGGGCCTTAATCCTTCATGACCACCATCAGCAGGAGCTAAGGGGCAAGAGCTAACTGCCCTAGTAATGAGGACCACAAGGCAGCTTCCCCACGTCTGCCTCTGTCCCCTTCAGTACCCTGACTCACCTCCCCACCTGGCCTGACAGCTGTCAGTCCCTTCTGCTGAGACCGTGACTGTGCCTTAGGAAGCCCCACCTGAAAGCTTCTTGTCTCTGGCCAGACGCCGCATGGTACCTTCCTCTTGTCACATATAAGTGGGTCTGCAGTCAAAACAGTGCGATTTTAGTGGTCTCTAGCGGTTTTCGTCACTGAGCCGTCTTGGTCTACAGCCGTCTTGGTCTACAGGCTGTGTGACGATTATTTCCCAGCACAGAGGCTTTGCCCTGTGACCATGAAAGCCAGGGCTGTCCTCGGCCAGGCCTCCCTCCTGAGCTGGTTTTTGCCATTTTGGTCTTTGCAGGAAGTGGAGCCCATGGCCATGGAGTGTGACCACATCCAGATCACGGCCCTGTCTCAGGCACTGAACATCGCCCTGCAGGTGGAGTATGTGGACGAGATGGACACGGCCCTGAACCACCACGTGTTCCCCGAGGCGGCCATTCCTTCCGTTTACCTGCTCTATAAAACATCCCACTACAACATCCTCTATGCAGCCGATAAACGTTGATTAATTTTAGGCCACGCAGTGGAGCCTGTCACCTAATGGGACTGCATTCTGAACAGAACATTTGACTTCTCAATTTTTTAAGCGATTAAGACTGCAGTTAGAAAACGTACAGCTTTTTGGACAAAATCACTGGGAATGAGGTCAAGTCACCAAGGACTGTGGTAACCTGGTAATACAGCTAGTATTTATTTTCATGGAGGACCAAGGAATTTCTAACTCTGGGCTAGTAGACCAGGACCTCTGGTTCTGTTCCCAGCTCCCTGAGGCCTTGGGCAGGCCACCTCTCTCTGACCGGTTTGTCTGAAGGAGGTTCCTGCCAGTGCTAACATTCTAGCATATAAAAATGGGGTTTTGATTTCTTCAGCGGCACTGCCTCTCTGTAGGGGAGGAACAGATCGACGTCACTGTCTTAAGTGACCTGCCAGTTCTATAAAACAAGTCCAATGAGCTACTGAACAGGCTCTGGTGGATGGCTGGTAAGTTGAGGCCAATTTGAAAATGAGGGTTCACTGTGGTTCTAAACACTCACAGCACAAGTGTTTCTTACTCCTAACTTGGAGGGCAAATCTAAGCCATAATCTCAAAAAGGCCTTGGTCTTTAGCATGAAGCCTAAGTTATGGGACCACTCTACCTCTCTCAGGGCTGGGTCTTTGCCTTTGAGGTTCTGTTGTCAGCTCCACCTGAACAGAGGCTTGACAAAGGTGCGGGTCATGACCAGAATCCATGTGTCTGTCTGGGACCAGGAAGCTGCGGCTGTGTCACCGTCCCCAACAAATTCCAGGAATAGAACCTGGAGCCTCAGCCAGGGGAGAAAGTGACACAGGCTGCTGCAGACTCCAGGTGAGCAGAGCAGATGTCCTGCGAGGTTGTCTTTGGCTCCTTCCCCCTTTTAACCAGTTTATGAGGGTTTAAGTGGGAAAAGACAGGGACAAGCTAAAGAAATTGGCAGTTGGGATGAGTTCTGATGCAGAAAACTACCTGCCTCTTCATTCATCCTCTGGACATGCTTCTTGATAAGGAACTTTTCATGAACTAACTTCCTTGTTGCTTCAGGACGCCCAGAGCACTGGGGCACTGCTAGTAAGCTCTCTCTCCCCTACGGGAAGCAATGAAGAAAGCAAGAGTGAACTTGTCCTTTGGGGCACTTCTGCAGCCTCATTTCTGCAGACCCTGGGGGCCAACAGCCAGACTATGCATGAAGACTGGGTGGCTGGCTGCTCCAAGTCCTGGGACACAAGCATGAGTTGTTATCACTCTGCCTTCATGACAGATGTCAGATGTCAGCATGCTTTCATTCCAGCCAGGACCCTCTGTCATTCTACTGTTGGCTGGAATTTGGACCCAAGGGTTCAAGCTAATTATGTCATTTTTCTCATAGGAATGTAAACTGGACGCTGGTCCTTGAATCAGTGTGAAAATTACACCAGAAAAGTGGGAGGAACGTGTTACGTGGTATGAAGAGAGTACCAGGATTCCCATTGGCCAAACTTAAGGCCCTGAGCACTATGCCAGACTGAAAGCCCTGGGCACTCCACGGGGTCAGGAGACGGGTGCCAGGCTGAGAGCGGGGCTCTCCTCGCAGCACTGCTGTCATCCCTGCAGGTGTGGCTTGTGTGGCACTCACAGCAGCAGAGCTCTCTTTCCAGCAGGGCTGCTGGAGGGAATTCCCTCTCTGGAGACTTGCCTATTCTGTGCAGTGCTCATGGGGCCTTGCTTACCAGCAGAAATTCTACCCTTTTATTTTCAGAAGGCCCAAGAGAAGCAAGCCAAGTCATTTTCATGGTCTTACCCTTTGCTTTCCTCTTCTCACAAAACTAATGGTCAAATCCAAATTACTGTTCTCTTCCCTTCATCCCTGCCCTCAGATCTTGCCTCTGAGGGAGAGAACTATGGGGGAAGAAGGGGGGCAGAAGTTAGTGAAGCTTTCAGGCATCCATGGAAGTAACCTCACTTGTCTACAGCAGCCAACCATGCTCTAATCACAACTGCTGGGTAATTCTCCACCCAACCCCAAGAAGCCATCTTTTTCCAGACCCAATACTGGATGGAAAGTTGTTCTGAGACTTTTACTACGTTATTTATTACGTTCTTTCCAAAGGAAACTTTATAAATCAATGGGAATATTTAACAAAGAACAAACTGTCCTTTCTTTTGACCAGGCTCCTACTTTAAGCACAAAAGGACTCTGATGCCAGACTGTCTAGGTTGAAATCTCAACCTTATCACTAACCATATCACCTTGGCCAAGTGACTTCACTTGAGACTGAATTTCCTTATCTGTAAAGTGAAAACAGAACCTACACATGACAGTATTATTAAAGCAGAATGAGACTGTGTGCAAAGAAATACAAGACCTGATCCACAACTAAGCTCACAGGTGAGATGTTCCCCAACTGACCCTTCAATGGGCACAATACTCCAAGTGGGCACATGCCATCTTGGTGGTGCTATGGTTTCCCAAACAGGAAATATCGGAAACCACCAGAAAGTTCAAGAACCAAACGCATCCCCACAGTGAGCAGAAATGGGGACATAGGCTGTGGTTCAATGACTGGTTGCCTAGGGACCAGAGATCCTGGGGAAATGGGCCAGGGCCTACAGCTTCCCTGGGCTGTTGGAAAAGCATCCAATTGGTTTCCATGGCAACTTCTGACCTTGTTGCTTTGGCAACTGGCATGCAGTGAGGCTAATACCACTCTCCCAGGAGCTTGTGTGTGAATGAGTGCCCCGGGGTTGGAGAAAAGGGCTTCCTTACAAGGCATGGGTCCCTTGCTTAGTGGAAGATCAGACACAGGACATTCTGCCCTTAGGCTGGAGGTACCAAACGCACCACAGGTGTTACCAGGTCAGAGCAGAACTGCCTGTGTGACTGGCCTCAGCTTTTAAAGCCAACACCCAGTTACCATATCAGAAGATTTGCTGTCAGAGGACCAGGGCAGATGGCCAGGACCAGATCCCATGCTGTAATGTGCCTGCGTATTGCTACTGATTTCCCACAACTGACTCCACCACGTTAGGGAAGACTGTTAGAACCTGAGGATAGCAACCTCTTCCCTGCCCAACTCCCAAGAGGCTCAGGCAAGATAACAGCTATGAGCATTAGACAGTTCAGATCCTGCAGTACAGTAGGAACAGGAATACATGTTGAGGATACCAAATGTTACATAATGACTGGCAAGCCCCAGCTTCTTGCTCCATCCACAGTGTCCAGCAGGATGAGAGGCCCCATGTGCATCCTGCAGCCAGAGGACTTTGACACTGTCCGACCTTCATCTAGAGGGCCCACTTATGATCCCAGGGAAACCTCAGTGAATTAATGTTGAAATAAACTACTACCACCACCCTCATATTCTGGCTAAAAACTCAGGACAACAATCTGGTTCAACTGATAGTTTTAATTCAGGAAACCAAGCTGAACGTACAGGAAGCCTGTAAACACTGAAATAAGAAATAACTTAAGCTGCTCATGAAATTCTTACTTCAAGCAACACAAACCTACACGAGCTCTCCCCTCTATGGGCGGCAGAAGAATTTTATACCTGGGGTTGACAGGGAACAGACACTGTGGTCACCAACAGACTTTGACCAGGGCAGTTAATCTGCACTTGTACCTGGCTGTGACTGACGTTGTTTTGGCTTCTTTTTCTTCTTCTTCTTCTGCTTGGAAAGGCAGCTCAAAGCAGACTCACTTTTTGGGGCAGACATGAGTGCAGGCAGTCTGCCAGACTGAGTAGGATACTTGGTTTTTAGGTCATCTTTAAACAGCGGCTGGGAGAGCAGATGGCGCAGTTCCTTCTTCAGGAGCTTCACTTGCTTTTGTCTCCGTCGTTCTTCATGCTGGTCAGCTTTTCCGCCTTGAAACAATACACAATGGACCAGTTTACTATGTGACTTGTAAGACATACTTTTGTTTCCTGTGACGTATTTGTGATGAAAAACGTTTTGGAACTCTGGGAGGCAGACTCAAAAATTCTCTGCACAAGCTAGCTTTGGCTACTTTAACAGTCTCCCAGGGACTGTTTAGGAGTCTCAGGGCACTCTGTCCTTACTCAAAAACCTGTTCAGATGTGAATCATCTTCATTTCACAGACAAGGAGACTAGGTGTACCGAGGTCACTGAGGAAGCTCACAGAGCGTTAAACCAAGTCTCCTGATTTAAAGATCAGTTTTCTTCCTCCAGTGTACCCCTTTCTGACTGGGGTTTGGAGACTTATAGCTGCAGACTCCTAGAAGGACCATTTATGCAGCCCAGCTCTTTGCACCTCACCCTCAGCACTGTGACTGCGCCTGCAGAGCGGGGAGATGGGCACATCCAAGGGCTCCACGCTAGTCATGATCTGGGAATGGAAGCCCAACAGAAGCCACAGCCTCACGAATACAGCATACTCCAAGCTCCCAAAAGGAACAGCTCCCCCTTATTAAGCCCACTGACCTGGCTCCTGCTTCTATGTGAGCAGACTAGGTCTCTGAATCTGACAGCCTTGTCACCAAATTACCAACACCTCCACTGAGCTGTCCTTTGTAGGATGGAAAAGAGCACCAGGCCTAACTGGTGTGTCAATTCTAGATGTAGTTCTCCCACTTCTAAGACCCAGGAGCTTTCCTACAGCAGGTTTCTCCTGAGTCTTTAGCCTCAGAGTAGGAGCTCAGGCAACACTGGTGGTTGAGCTGTCGCCCAACAAAATCACTTCTCTAAGTCTTTACTTCCCATATGTAAAAGGATAGTTCCTGCTCTGTCACAAGGCCACAGGGAAGATCAAATGAATGACTGAAGACAATGCCAGCTTTGAAGACAGATATAGTAGTAAAAATGCTAATAAGTAGTAACATCAAAAACACCAAATTGACCAGGCACTGTTTTAAGTATTTTATATTCATTAACTCAAGCTGTCTTCATTAAGAAACTCATAATATACGTACTTCACTTATGACTTGCATTTTATAAATGAGGACAGTCTAGGTACAACAGGTTAAGAACCCTGAACTGAGCTCATAACCAGTTACGAGAATGGGCCAGCACTCAAACATAGGCCATCTATCTGCCATGCCCACCCTGACATTATTGTACCTCACTGCTTCTCTGTAAGAGGGAAGCCGCTGAGGGTTCCAAACAAGACAGAGGAAACCAAGCTGGAGGTCTACTGCAAAGAAGGAAAAGGCTCTTGCTGATTTTTAAAGAACCCAGGGAAACAGAGTCCCAAAGAAAAGGTGAATGTACCCTTCTCCAAGTTGCATCCAATCCACTTACCCTTATACATATCTTCCTCCAGCTCAATCTCAAGGGCAGCTGCTGCCTGCTCGATCCAAGAGTTGTGAAGGCAAGCCTGGAAGTTCCGATATTCAGCTTTCTCAATCTGTCTAGCTAAATGGATTCGCTCCTAGGGAAAGGAACAGAACAAGCATTCAACTGACAGAGGGTTCAGTCTCTAAGAAAGTCTCTTTGTTTCTAAGGAGGCTCTTCAGACCAGTGCCCAGTGAGTTACAACTCAGTTCCCATCCACGCTGTGTGTCCTGATAAAAAGCAACATTACTCGTATGTGTACACAATCACGAGAACCTTCCGAACAATGACACCCAACAGCCCCACCCTTTGGAAGCCCACCTGGCCCCGCCCATCCACAGGTATCCAAAAGGAACCCCATCCACAGACACCAGCAGGCTTCCACATCAGCAGGCTTCCGCAACTGAGAAGCTGAATCACTCCAAAAGCCCTGAGTTAGGGCTCAGCTCTCAATTACTGAAAAGACAACTAAGAGGCCTGCTCTTCCTCTCTCCCATCTTGCCTTTGCCTAAAACATTTAATTTTTCTTTGCATAGGTACGGGAGTGGGACTGCAGTGACAGGATACGCTGGGAAAATGGGAGATCTGATGAGTGGGAGACAAGAGCCACAAGAAGTCAGGGTGGCTCCTAATCCTTATCACTAAGGAGAATTCTCTGCAACCCCTTATTCCATCTTCCTCTCCCACCATATTTCCCCACAAGGTTAATTCCTTTTGAGCCACAGGAGTCAACAATCTTTGAATTGTTCTGCTTTTATTCCCTCCTGTTCTGCTTTCAATTCCATCTCCTCTTCACATCTCTACCTGAGAGGCTTGGAGGAAACCTCATCTCCTACTAACATAATGACATGCCCACCAATCCCACAGGGATCCATCTACACCTGAACTTTAATGTGGTCTCGGTCTGCCTGGTGAGCCTGTGAACCTTTAAGTGGAGGGTCCACCCTGCTTTGGTACCCAATACACCGGGCCCTCTGTAAGCAGCACTCACGCAGTGCATGCCTACCTGGATTAAATTAAAAGCTCTATTTTAATAGTAGAATTGGGCCGTTATTGGCATGTACTTCAGGAATTTGACCAACTTTCAGTATCTGCTTTAACAAAACATGCTGAAAACCTGAGGAGCTGTCTAGGCAGCAGGCTCACTGCTCTTGTTAATCTGGTGCTAGCTTGGATTTCAGGGGCAGATAGTGAAGCATGGGTTCAGGAAGAACACTCCTTATAATTTTTGGTCGCTCACCCTCCCTTCCCCCTTCTGCTGTACAGTGAACCCAATCTTTTTAATTTACATTTTTGAGGATGTCCATGTAAGTTGCTGGCAGAACCATAACTGAGTCTGTAAGGGTTACACTGCCCCAGTTTCACAGCAAGGGGAGGGAGCAGGCAGTCCCTTCTCTCCACTAGTACTGGGCTTTTAGCTTCTCTTTTTACCTTGACTGCATCCATGTACTTTGTCTGCACAGGGAACAATGGGATATCCTCATCTTTCTTGAGGGTTTTATAAATCTTCTTAAAGTTGATCATGTCTTCCGGTCCAATCAGCATCAGGCTGAGGCCTTCATTGGTGGCACGCGCAGTTCGACCACTTCGGTGGACATAAATCTCTGAGGTTCGAGGGACCTGTCCATGGAAGAACTAGTGGTCAATACATGGCCATCACCAAACACTGCTCTTCTCAGGGCCAGAAAGCCAATACCAGGCCCTCCTCCCTCCCGGCTCAGCAATGACAAGGACAGACCTAGCCCTTCTCCTGTAGTCTCACGTTCAACTGTACATCAGTTCCTTATGTAGGCTCCACCCTCCCATAATTTTACTCTGGTTTAAGCCCCAACATCACTCACCTGGATAATGACAGTCAATTCTGAATTGGTCTCTAGTACTTGCCACTCCCCAGACCAAGCCCAAAGCTGCCAGTGTCATCTTCCTGCATCAAAGCTCTGCCCACAATGCCCTTTTAACTTAAGAAACTTTGGTTTGTCATAAACTCTCGATGGATGACTGAGGACAGTCATCCAATCACTGAGTGATTACAATGTGTCAGGCAATGCTACACATTCTGCAGATATGCATGAAACAGATGCTTTCATGATCATCCATACAGAACAGGACTCTGAAGTAAATGTTAAAACTTAAACTGGTTCTTCTAGCCTATTAAATGGCGGAACCAGGATTCAAACTGCAACAGTACAGCTCTAAACACCATGCTAATCCCCCGGGATACGCTGCCTCTAACAAACAGTTACTCTATCGACCACAGGTGTGGTGGCATGGGTAGTGACAAGTCACCCTTCCTCAACGCCCGTGGCACATATTCCAATAATCAAGCTTAACAGCCTCTCCCACTGAGCCCAACAACACTCAATTATATTTTTCAAAGCAGTGCTCTAAGCAAAACCTTGGCCTGTTCATAATGGTCCCAGCAATGAGATCTATGTGACACTCACGGCCTTCAGTGACCTCATCCCTCCAACCTCAGCATCGACTTCTCTCCCAACATACGCATTTCACTCAGCTTCCCACTCCCACATGCTCTTTTCTCCTTACTTTCCTATCTCCACCCTCAAATCCTCTCAATTTTTTGAAAGGCACTTCCCAATCTCTCAAACTAGAAGTTACCTATCTCTTTCAGAGTGTGCAACTTTCTAATATGGTCTACTTTAAATTATTATTATGGTCATCTCATCTCCTTTAATGGATGTAAAACTTCTTACAGGCCGGGGAGATATTTTATTCATCTAGATATTGCTCACAAAGACTAACCCAGTCTCTTTCCAAAAAAGACAAAATTAGCTACAAATGAACTGAACTCCATAAGATTTTGAAAAGCAAGAGGAAAGATTAAAGAAGAAAAATAACCCTACCACTTATTGAGTGCTTACACTGTGCTAGCTGCTTCATCAGCATTAGCTCCTTAGCTCCTCTAATTCTGATAAACACACTCCCACTGTACAAACAATGCCACAGGTACTAGACTTGCTCAGAGCTGACAAACTACAAAGCGGCAAAGCAGCATTCACGTGCTGGCAATCTGGTCCTGGAGCTCACAGCACTAAAATCAGTATTGCTATCAACAGCAGCCGACATTTACTGAGGTATTATCAGATACATATATTAGCTTACTTAGCATAACAAGAACAGAAATGGGTACAATGACAGCCGGGACTTAAGTCTAAGCAGTTCCTAACTCCCACACCACTCTACACATCTACATCAGGGTAACACTTTACCCGATTACTATGTCTATTTCATGGAAGATATCAATACTCTAATTCACCAACACCAACTAGACTGCCCAAGTGAAAACGGAGGTATAGGACATCAGCCATAACTCAAAGCCAAGAGGATTTTCCTGACCTGAAAATCTTGTCAGTGTTCCAAAGTAGCAGGAGCTGGTCACTACACATCTGATATTCTCTATAGCACGAGGCCTTGGGACCAGCAATCTCACTCCTTCATTCCCAACACCTTCCCTTTAAAAAACTTCCCCACTCAGGGCCCTCCCTGGTGGCGCAGCGGGTTAAAGCACAGCACTGAGAATCTAAAGCCGCTTCTGCCTGAGTTCGATTCCTGCCTGCCCCGGAGGTGACCACATGGTGTGGCAGACCTCCCCCTGCTGCTCCCCTCAGCAGTGTACTTCGTGGATTTGCCTGTTCTGTTCCCCACTCTGTCTCTGGTGAAGCCTCTCACTGCCCGAGCCTCTGGCCTGTACCCCAGTTCTATATGCACAAATAAATAAAATCTTAAAAACAAAAAACAAAAAACTTCCCCTCTCAGTATAAGGAGATGCTTACAAATGCCCAGATGCCCCTACCTGGTAATGGATGACATGCTGGACTTTAGGAATATCCAGGCCTCGAGCTGCCACATCTGTTGCCAGGAGTACACAGCTGTAGTGGAGAAAAAATTCATTAATAACAATTAATTGCTATCATTAATCAAATTCTGAGCACCTGCTAAGCCCAAGAAACATGTACAGCTATTCTGCCGTGGAACCAGGACCCAAACCCAGGTCTTACTGGCCACAATCAACAAGCCAAACCCTGCAACAGAAAAGGACCACCTCAAGTGAATTAAGTGAAGGCACACATGTTCTAATTCCTGTCACTTTTCTCCAGCTACACAGATGTCCTTGCTGTCCCTTATACATGCCAAACATGGTCTTGCCTCCACGAATTTGCACTTGCTCTGCCAAGGATTTTAAAGGTCTTTCTCAGATATGTACATTTTGTTATTTTTAATCATTCTCTGTTCACATCTCACCTGTAAGAGAAGCCTCCTTGACCATATACCCACTCTCTTCATTCAACATATACTACACACCTACTTTTGAATGTACTATTTTCCACCAATGGAAAGTAAGCTTCATGAGAGCAAGCAGTTTGCATTATACAGTATGCTACTGCCAGCCTCCAAAACGGTGTCTGGTTCATAAAAAACACTTAATAATTTGTGTTGGATCAAGTTTCTTAAGAAGTTACTTGCTACAGAATGCACCTCAATAAAAGGGGAAGCACACTACAGTGAGTACATGTCACTTGCCTTTCTCCCACTTACATGCTGCTGTCATGACCTACAATTCCCAGCTGGCCACTAGCTGTACTTCCTGAAAGGCGGGCATGTGGAACCAAGGGAGAGGAATCACTGGGAGAGGAATCACTCGGAGAGGAGACGCTTGGAGAAGAGACATGTAGGTGAGAGACTCTTGGGGAGGGGACCCCTGGTTCTTGGCAGAGGATGGTAGTTTATTTTGTGGTGGATTATATGGTACATTTTCAACTTCAGGTCTCTCCTGTTCCAACTTTCTGAGATGCCTAAAACTTTTGGGTAGCTTGATTCAGACCTCAACTACCTCACATAGGGGCCAAGGCTGTTGGGCCGGGTATTTGCCTACAAGCAGATGGATAATTTTCAGAGTTTGTTATTATTTGAACCCCTTCTCTTCTCTCTATGCAACCAATTAAAGATATCTCAGACTAAAAGTTTACAGAGGGACAATAATAGCAAGGGTACTGAGGTCTGGCAGGCTCCTCTGAGACCCAGTTTTATCAAGTAGGATCTTCTTTAGATTCTACTTTTTTCATAGATAAAAGAAGAATAAAGTGATTAGTACATAAAAGATAACCTTTATCAGGTGCACAGTGTATTGCTAGGATTGTTCCAAATACACTACAGACCTAAGCGACTTAATCCTCTTAACTACTCTGAGATAGCTTCTATTATTATACTGACCAGGAGAGAGGTAGTATCTAACCAGCCAGAGTGACACAGTCAGGATTTGACCTCAGTCCATGATTTTAATCATGATCTACACTGCTTCACCTCAAACATGTTAGCAGTGAATGTGATAACTATCTAAAAGGCCAACATAATATTGACTTTTAAGTATCAACAACAGAAGCATTATTGTTACCATTACTCACTATTATGGAATGATTATACCAACAAGCACTAGATTATCAAATGCACTAGATGAGGGTAAGCCTGTCTCCTGCTGTGCAAAAGAAAATCTACCTTCTACTGCTAGGGCCCCCAGGACAAAAGATAAGTTCCCCACCATCCTGGCAACCTTGGTCTAGTAGCTAGAGGCTGGGCTCTTGGGATACGTCCAACTTACTCTTCCAGACGGGCAAACTGTTCCAGATTTCTGAGTCTTTGCTTCTGGTGCATGCAGGCGTGCAGTGTCAGTGGCATAATATCCAGGACTTTGAGCAGCCCAGAGAGGCGTTTGATGCAGGAGATACTATTGGCAAACACTAAAGTGCGGCCTGGATGCTGCATCAAGAAATAGTACAGGTATAAGTCTTTTTCATCAGTCTCACAATGGATTTTGGTCTCTGTCAGTGTCTCTACAGTAGCTTCGCTCCTTGTGAGGTCAATGACCTTAGGCTTGCCCCTCATGCCAATCTTTTGCATCAGAAGGTCAAGTTTGGCAGTTTTGTCGATTTTCTTAGTATGCTTCTTGTGAAGGATTCGAGCAGGAGCTTGATGTATCAGAGTCAGTGTGGCAGAAAAAACAAGTGTCTGTCTCTTTGGGTTGTACTGGGAGTCACTGAGCATCTCTAGCAACTGTGAGAGCTCAGCAAAATGACCTTTCTCAACCATCCGATCAGCCTCATCAATCACAAGACACCTGCAGACCCACCACATAAGCTGGTTAGTGACAGGCAAGAGTATAGCACACATTACCACTCTACAGTCCCATGCCCCCAAACCACCAGAACCAACCACCTCTTCCAGGGCTTCAATGTCTTCCTGCATATTTGGCTTTTTTTTTTTTAAAAAAAGATTTATTTATGCATACAAGAACTGGGGTATAGGCCAGAGGTGTGGGGAGCACCGTGAGAGGACTTACCAGAGACAGAAAAGGGAGCAAAGCTGGCGGATCTACTGAAACACACTGCTGAAGGGAGGCAGCAAGCGAGACAGGAGAGGTCTGCTGTGCCATGTGGGTCACCTCCCTGGCCTCCGTGGGGATTGAACTCATGCTGCAGTAGCTGGCGATAGCTTGATAGCACTGAGACTTTAACCCCTGCACCACCAGGGAGGCTCCATACTTGGCTTCCTAAAGGCCAAGGTCTGCCAGTACCAACGGTAAACCCTTCTGACGAGAAGAGGGCAAACACACTCATGTCACCTGAGAATGAGGTAAAAGAGGAAAGAGGAACCTCACCTAAGCTGCCGAAGGTTGCTCAAATGAGGGTGCTTTTCTTTAACTAGTTCCCATAGTCGTCCTGGTGTGGCAATTACAATCTCAGGCTGGCGGTTCAGCATTCTTTGCTGTTTCTGTGTGGACATTCCACCAACCAAAATAGCAGTTTTAATTCCTATAGTGCACAAAACATAAGGGGCACTGTTAGTTTGTCTATTTTCTTCCACGGCTGACAAAGCACCCCCAGATTAGCAGAGGTAGTCACCAGAACAACTGCCTTCCTCCAAGGAGGTGCTATAAGACTGGCTGGCCTGACGGGCTTTTTTTTTTTTTTTAAAAACAGCTTATTTTTACATCATTTTGTACATTTTTTTCCCCATCTCAATTGTAATCCCCGCGGGTTTCCCATCACTGAGTCACCTGTGTGCCATCACCATAATCCTGTACACTCCCCCCCGCCCCCGTTTTTTCGATCCCATTCCCCACTCCACCCCCACAAAATGTCTCTGGTATATGGCTTCTGAGATAGCTTCTTCTTATTATTTTCTCGCCTGGTCCATTATACTCCTGCTATGAGTGAAACCATCCGGTATTTTTCTTTCTCTTTCTGGCTTATCTCACTAAGCATGATCTTTTCCAGCTCCATCCAAGTTGCTGCAAAAGACGTGTTTCTCTTTTTTGGTTGCTGAGTAATATTCCACTGTATATATGTACCACATCTTTTTAATCCAGAAAAATATGGAACGCTTCACTAATTTGCGTGCCATCCTTGCGCAGGGGCCATGCTAATCTTCTCTGTATCGTTCCAATTTCAGTACATGTGCTGCCGAAGCGAGCACTGACCTGACTTTTGATGCCACTCCTATAAGGTTTGTCAAGTCTTCTAGGATCTGGGCCACTCCTAGTTCCCCAACCTCATTTCTTTCAATATCCTCTCCTCTAACAACAATGGGAGGGCTGGATATTTGAGCTCAAATATGCTTACATCCAAGGGTCAGAAGAAAAAAATCAACTGAGCAGTGGTATAACACAGTGCTGTGCATTGTGACACCTGCAGGCACCACACATTTTTCCTGGAAGCCTTGCCCACTCCCCAAAATTACTACAATTGAATCCCCTCTGAAGTTTATCACTCTGTTCCTCTCATGGAGGACTTCTCAGATACTCAGATTGAAGGAACACATAGGATCACACTGGTGAAGCACTGAGCAATGTGTCTCACACATAATAAAGCTATAATGGTAAATAACTTGGCTTTATTATAAAATTCCAAAAGGAATTACCTGAGAGAATTGCATTCTAATATCCTAAGGCAGAAGTATGCAAGCTTGTTCTTACAAGGAAGAGGAAATATTTTTGGCCTTGTGGGCTAGATAAATGGTCTCTGTCAAAATTACTAGCTTAACTTCAATAGCCTTAGTAGTGAAAAACATAAGGTACATGGTCCCTGGAAATACCATATACAATATGGTCCATTTCAGTCAAATTTTATTTATCAAAACAGGTAACAACCCCTTAGAAACAGCTACCAATCCCTGCCCTAAGCACCCACAGTATTAAGTTAATTTCCCAAGCACCTAGAATGCATTAACTATGTATCATCTTTGGGAAATTTGAAAAGTATCACTCAAACAATTTTCTCTAGGACTAGTTATCCTTAGTTTCTTTAGGACTTAGTCAGGTATACCCTAGAAGAGAAGACATACACCTTATTTACCAACTCAGCATCAAGAATCCCTACAGGAAATACTGAATTCTTGAAAATTTTAACCTATCCTCTTCTTTTTAACCAAAGAACCTCACCTGTAAACTTCGCCACAGCATCAATGTGTTGTCTGACCTGAACAGCCAGCTCTCGAGTGGGAGTCAGAACCAGGCCAAGCAGAGGACGTTTTGAATGTGCTTTACAGGTGGCAATTTTGTCATCCAACCCTTGTCTTGACTTTCCATTACTCTCTTCATGAAGCTTTTCCTCACTGTCTCCATCCTGACAGGATGCCGGTGTCTCCCTGATTAGGGAAGAAGGTCCTTCACCAGCATCGTCATCAGAGAAGGGCAGCATCCTGTCAAAAACCATAGTGCCAGTCTTGGCTGCCTTCATTCCAGTCTCACTAGGCAGTACCTTACTCTCAATTCCAAGTGCATCAGGCAAAGCTCCAGATTCAGTTTCAGTTTTGTTTGGTGGCCCAGACTTGGTTCCTGTCTCCATTTTGGTTTCTTCAGGTGATTCTCCAGTGTTACTTGGAGGTAGGGTGGGCTTCTTCACCTGCCACTGCAGCACTGCATGAATCATTGGAATGGCAAAAGCCAGCGTTTTCCCACTTCCTTAGAAGTAAACAAAAAACAAAAGCAGACAGTGTAAATCAACAGATGTACACACTTCTGCCCTAGGTTTGTTCGTTCCTTTATACAAAATAGCTAAGTGACCAACCCCAAGTTCACCTACCCTGTGCAGGTTCTCCCTTAGCCCTGCAACCAGAGAACACAAGGAGCTAAAGGAAAAGCCTAACATACTGACACTGATGTCTGTGCCCATCAAAGGTATATTAGAGACAAACACCTCACCAAGCAAAAAAAATCTAAAGAGATGGGCAAGTTGTATGTGTTTGTGGCTGTGTGGGAAATATCACCATTACTGGGGGTAGAGGAAACAAATCTACCATTATTTCCCAAGACCTCTCTTAGGTTAAGATGAACAGAATAAATGAAAATCTTCTTAATTTTTCAAGAAAACACCTTTATCGTAAGCTTCAAAGAACCCTCAAAATTATCAAAGGAAAATGAGCTCTCAGTGAAAAAACAAACAAACAAACAAAAAAAA